GCTAGAGCTAGCTTGTGTCAATTTTTATCAATTTTATGTCGCATAATTTGTTATTCTTTCGGCTCAAATTTAATTGGATGTAATTTATCATAAATGACACTAATTATCTACTTACAATTTATCTTTATTTAACTTCAGCCAAACCAGGGAAAAAAGCATTTTCTTTTGTTTATTCTTCCTAAAACTATATTATCCCAAGTTTCCAAGTTTTCAAATTACATTTACAAAGATAACAGCCCAGCAAGAAAACTTCACAAAACCTTATTGTAAGGAAAGGCCTTTTTTATCTTACTAATTTCTCGTTCGCTAACGAAACGTTATTCAAAAAAGTTTACACTTTATACTGAAAAAGCTGATGCAGTCGTTTTTACTAATCTCTAAACTTTGGTTTCAGGTTTTAGCTAACGAGATGGCTTTTCTGTCATATAACAGCTTCGTATTTTTTTAAATTTAAACAAAAATACTGAAAGGGTTCTCTAATTCCGATAATAAATCCTTTTAAATCGAATAAAATTGTTAAACTTTTAAATAAAAAAGACTGTCCAATGCATTGCCTGGAAACTTATATGGTGAAATTTTGATAAAATAATTTAGTACTAACTAAAAACATGGTACGTCACTAGTGGTAGAAAAATAATTTTTAGAGGTTACTAGTTTATTTGGTTGCCTGTGATATGCATATACAGGGTGTTTCCTAACTAATCTAAAAAATAAAAAATCGTTAGAAAACGGCTTAAGGCGGGCTCGTAATAAGTATATTTATTTTTTTCTCTGCAACCGTTTGATGAACAAGAAAAACTCAAAAGGTCAATTTTGTTGAAAAAGGATGGCCAGTCAAGAAAAAAATATATTTTCTTTAAAAAAGCAGTAGTGTACCATTTATGTTAAGCAAAATATCGATTTTTTTAAATTTTTAACACCCTGTAGAGCAGAAAGGAAGTACTTTAGACCTAATGGTTATATAAAAATTGTTTTAAGAAGACATGAGGAATCACACCACAATTTTTTAGACTAATTAGAAAAAACCCTGTATATTGTCAACTTGACAATGATTGTTGATAAATCAAAAAATACCTTTTCTGTGAAAAAAAAAAACGATTTTCGCAGAAAAAATTTTGGTTTTTATTGAATTTGGGCCTGCGTCTGCAAATACCGGTATGTTTTTTAATATCCTATCTATTTAAATTTTAAATATCATAGTCAGAAATAGTTTTATTATTTATTAACTGTAAAAATGGTATACTTATAAGTTTTATCAAATATTGTGATTTACTTTCTACCTTGTAGTCAAAATTTATATTTAATAAACTGTAAAATATATTATTCTTATGTTTTATTAAAGTTACTCTGATTACTAATATATCAGTGTAACTTTAAAACTAAATCCTTTGAAATCAAATATAAACATAAAAAATATTTACAGCAGAAAAGGCGAAGGCGCTGGGTTAAACGTAGTCTCTACTAAGAACACGGAGGGGCGCTTTGACCCAAAATTTTACTATTAAGTTTCATATCTATCTTAATAGAAGATTATTTTCTTTTATCTATGGTCCAATGTAAGCATTCAGAAGAAAAAGTTATCAAACTTTTAACTTTTCCACTAATTATACTTCAAAATTTGCCAGAAATGTCATTTTGGCCTTTGATTATCTTCCATCAAGAGAAATTGTGGTTAGAAATCAAAAGTTGATTGTTTTATTATCTAAATATTGGGCCATTGCCTGGAAACTTATATGGTGAAATTTTGATAAAATAATTTAGTGCTCACTAAAAACACGGTATGTTGCTAGTGGTAGGAAAAATAATTTTTAGAGGTTACTAGTTTATTTGGTTGCCTGTAATATGCATATACAGGGTGTTTCCCAATTAATCTAAAAAATAAAAAATCGTTAGAAAACGGCTTAAGGCGGGCTCTTAATAAGTATATTTATTTTTTCTCGGCAACCGTTTGATGAACAAGAAAAACTCAAAAGATCAATTTTGTTGAAAAAGGATGGCCAGTCAAGAAAAAAATATATTTTCTTTAAAAAAGCAGTAGTGTACCATTTATGTTAAGCAAAATATCGATTTTTTTTAATTTTTAACACCCTGTAGATCAGAAAGGAAGTACTTTAGACCCAATGGTTATATAAAAATTGTTTTAAGAACACATGAGGAATCACACCACAATTTTTTAGACTAATTAGAAAACACCCTGTATATTGTCAACTTGACAATGATTGTTGATAAATAAAAAATTACCTTTTCTGTGAAAAAAGCCCGATTTTCGCAGGAAAAATTTTGGTTTTTATTGAATTTGGGCCTGCGTCTGCAAATACCGGTATGTTTTTTAAGATTCTATCTATCTAAATTTTAAATATCATAGTCAGAAATAGTTTTATTACTTATTAACTGTAAAAATGGTATACTTATAAGTTTTATCAAATATTGTGATTTACTTTCTACCTTGTAGTCAAAATTTATATTTAATAAACTGTAAAATATATATATATATATTCTTATGTTTTATTAAAGTTACTCTGATATACTAATATATCAGTGTAACTTTAAAACTAAATCCTTTGAAATCAAATATAAACATAAAAAATATTTACAGCAGAAAAGGCGAAGGCGCTGGGTTAAACGTAGTCTCTACTAAGAACACGGAGGGGCGCTTTGACCCAAAATTTTACTATTAAGTTTCATATCTATCTTAGTAGAAGATTATTTTCTTTTATCTATGATATTGGATACATCTGACTAACGCAAGTTGTTGCTAGGATATTCTAGTAATTTTAATTGGGGTTTTTAAACATTGTGAATAATCGTAAACTAAAAAGTATGAGTGTAATTGAAACCACTAATTTATTCCACTAATTGCGAGGTTCCGAATAAAGCTTTATGATAATGGATTAGTTCCTCGTGTGACATTTATCTGTAAGACTTTCGAGTGTTGTCTTTTATATTTTGCATATAGAGGGAAAAAACATTAGATCATTTTTAAACACTATTATTTTTCGAAGTATTCTTCACGAAGAGAAATGCAGTTTTACATCCGCTAGAACCAATTCTGAAGACAGTTAGTTTTACCACTCGCTTGTCGGTTCACCTTTAAAATTGCGTTTTTGAAGCTGCTGGTTCCATCTTTTGGGACTGAAACCTTTGATCACGCAGTTCATTCTTAATTTTTGAAAAAGTAAAAAAATCAGGACTTAGGTCGAGAATGTATGGAGGATGAATGGTCCAACAATTCGATGTTTCCTTGCTTTAAAAACTCAATTGTTTTTCGATCTGTGTGGAAACTTGCATTGCTTGGTGGAGAATTATTCATCATTGAGGGTTGGTATTTCAAAACTCAGCAATTACTTTTCCCAATCAAATATATATATATATATATATATATATATATATATATATATATATATATATATATATATATATATATATATATATATATATATATATATATATATATATATATATATATATATATATATATATATATATATATATATATATATATATATATATATATATATATATATAATATATCGAGGGCTGAGAACCATAGGGTTCCAAGCGACATTTTTTTCAAAATTCTTTTTTGCAGGAATCTGTTCTATAGATCATTATCTTTACTTTGCTGTAAAAATTGTGAACATGTGTTATTCTGCAATAAAATTACAATAATTTCCAAATTTTACTTTAGCTGTTTATACACAACCACATTTCTTTTTTCAAGTACAGCGCTTACAGTGCCACAAGGTTCCAAGTATAGTAACAGCGTTATACAAAAAACGAAAAAATACTTAAATCGAGTTTTTTTATAGCAGCATTTTTGGGTATTTTTTTATAGACAAATCTCTAAACAACGTTCCCAAATATATTTCAATTTGATTTCTGTTATTATAATGAATTTATCGAGTATCAAACTTTAAAATTCATTTTTCTAAGAAAAATGAAAATGTTGCTTGGAACCCTATCGTTCTTAGCCCTCGATGTACTAAACCAATCAGTAGTGACAGTTCTTTGATCTTGCATAGGAATTGTTGTTACATGGAGAACGGATAACTTTCGTCGGTTTTGGTACACCTCGGAATACCCAAACAGCTGATTGGTGTGTATTCTCGGGGTCATAAGAGTAAAATCCAGGATTTCCACTGACAATACTGTATATATTTTTTGAGTTTTGTTTTTATTGGGTAATAGTGAATATATTATACCCGGTAGTATGTTAGTATATGACATAAATTAGGATTGATTGACATGTTCAATTGTTTTTGGTCACTTCCCGTTTCACCGGAAATTACTACAACTTTTCATTTTTAAAAGGAACCCTCGGTATAACGGTATATTTTTACTTAATTCGGTAGAGAATGACATTCTGAGTAGAAAGACGTATTATATGTCAACTTTTAATATTTTTGCTTAAAAAATCGTATTTTAAATTTCCATCTAGAGTGCAATGGCTGTGTTAAAAACACTAATTTTTAATAAAGGAGCTTTGGAAAAATAGATTTAATCATTTAATGTTTTTCGTGTCTTGTCCTGGCCGGTTTAAAAGATGCCCAAATCGTATTTTTAATTATATTTCAATTTATTTTCAAATGGAACAAGGGAGGCTCATTAGCACATTTGAAAAAAACATTTTATTTACGAATAATTTGGTACCACACATAGTATTTCGAGTCAAATTGTTGTTATGAACCGCATGTTACAATTTCAAATAAACCATATGCGAAAATGTCAAAAGTTGACATATGGTATGTCATTCCCTATTCTATTAAAGTAAAAAATACCGAAAGTGTTATTTATAAATCAAAAGTTGTGGTCATTTCCGTTGAAACAGGAAGTGACTAAAAACAATTGAATATACCGTCAATCAATCCTAGTTCATATCATATACTATCATACCAAATATCGTTTTTTATCTAAAAAAATTTAAAAATTATAGGGGTGAGTCACTTTTGAGACGCATCCCGTAAAAAATTACTTCTAAAAATCATTTTTTGACTATCTAGCATGGACCTGGATGGCACTAACCATGGACTTCCAAGAAGATCTGATTCGTCTGGATTTGGACTGCAGTCCCAGCAAGTTCGAATCAGTGCTATCCCGAAAAGGAGCTCCGCCTAAACTGGCCATATCCAACGACGCTTTGGTTTATTTCAGACAAGAACCAGGCCGGAAAAAGAAGTTTTTAGTAAGTAAACTCGATTTCAGTAAACTTCAATATTCAAATATTATACACACGAAAAGTGAACTTTCTAGAGAACGAAGCCTATTTCACCATAAAATGAACTTAAATTATTTTGAGGAATAAAAAAGTATGCAACGAAATAAAAAAGTGGATTTAATTTTTTAATCACTCAATGCCATGACAGCTACGGCCAGTATTATATGACATTCGAATTCGAATAATGTATAGTAGTTATTTTTTATACGAGACGATAAAATACCATTTTACCAAAATACCATTTTATCGTCTCGTCGAAAAAATTAATTAATTTCGGGAGACGATAATGCATTTTTATGGTCCTGTATAAAACAATTTTATTTCCATAGCGAGTTAAGTTTTTAAAAATATTCAGAAATTATTATTTCAAGGAATGTATTACGAGTAGAAAAAATATTGTGCTGCGTTGGCGTTGGTTTCTATGTAATTTGACAAATAAATAAAGCTGTCTCTTTAGTTGTCAGTTTTGAGTCAATATTTTTTAATTCTCTTTCGTGTCGATGCTGATTAGATTGGACCCAGAAATGGCTCAAAACGAAAAATAAGTAAATTACCAACAATATTCAGGCTGAGGTTGACCAAACCTATTCAAAAACTACTTCATTAAATCCCGAATAACTTATGAAAAGAATACAAAATTTTCAAAAATTGGAAACAATTAAAAAAACGTGCGAGAAGAAATAAAGTTCTTTACCTTATCCTCGCTGTTAAAGTATCATTTAATCTCCCTTGCGGTTAATAGTATTATTTTATCTCTATTTTTGATAGGTATATCATTGTTACGTTTTTTTTCTTGCGAACATTAGCAATTTTAATTTTAAAAATTTATTTAAACACTATTATTTAACACTAATTAACAAAAACACCAATAACGATAAAAGACTTATAGAAACTATTACAAAACGATTTTATAATAAGAATTTATTTTTGATTTTAGCGCGTCAACTGCACTGTATATTTTATTTATACTGCCCTCTGTAGGCCACAGCCGCCGGCTTATATACCGACAGGTAAAGAAATCTAGAATAGTCCATGGATCGTTAGGTGCGTAGAGAAGATTTTCGAATGTTCTCTTATATACTACTCCATTCCAGTACAAGTCGATGCTTCTCGAATCTCCGAATGAATCATTACGGTGTCTATTCTTTAATGCGATGTTAAGTTCATCCGAGGGCGGACTTATAGTTGGTTTAAGGTCGACTTCACACTGTGTCCGAAACAACTGCCCCCTTCTAAGGCACATGCTCGTCCCGAGATGTACACGGTGAATGAAGGTATTTGCAAAGGTGGCCCCTGGTACATTGCGAAGTCTGAAATAGCAGTCTACAGTTTTCTCTCCCAATCTCAGCTTTGGGTTGTTACAGCAAACGAGGATCTCGATCGTAAATCTGATAAGACTTTCAATTCATGTTTCGGATTGTCGCCAACTCCAAACATCGAGTCCACACGCCAACTTCGGAATGGCTAATCGTGCAATGTTGTGTTTAAGCAGGGGTTCTCTCAGTTCAATCAGGTTCCATAGATTGAGATAAATCGGCTTACTCGGGGACCTTTCCTTGGTGACCAGGTATAAGATGTGCCTTGCTTGATCATGTCCATTGTCGGTTAGCCTCAAGACGCTTCCAACCTCTGGACCCTGTCGGCGTAGTTCTCCGACACGCCCAAACTTCTCATCGAACGTCGCAGCGATTCCTCTGGACATCCGCAAATCTCGTGCCACACAATGAGCGACCGAATAATCAGGAGGCACGGAAAAGAGTTATCGTTGATCTTCTTTGGTTACACCATAATAGCGAGCCTTCTCACTGTTGTTGTATCGGGCCATGAATCGTCAAAGGATATTTCCGAATCAGGGGGATCAAAGCTGCAGGTTCTCAAGGTCCCAGCACGATCTTCTATTTCGCTTTGGTAGGGGCTCAAACGGTTGAAATGGATTACCCTCGGTTTTCCTTTGGCAATTTTCTGATACGGCTATTTATACGTCGTCATTAATCCTATCCATGCCTTCGTATGGCCCTTCCCACAAGGATTGTAGCTTCGGAGATAACCCACGACGTCTCTGCGGGTTATATAACCACACCAACTTCCCTGGTTGGTATCCTTCATGCTCAGCTTGAATGTCGTAGGTGTTCTTCTTCGGTCACTAGCATTTTGAATATTTAGGCGGACTCTCTGATGATTGTCGTCCATCCTTTGACGTAGTGTGTGGACATAATCTTCTCCGGCGATTTCTTCTCCCGGTCGGCAACGAAATTTCAGATCACAAGGTAGACGCATTTCCCGTCCCATAACGATGCTGGCTGGAGTTTGCCCTGTAGATTCTTGGACGGATGAACGTAGGCCAACAGGAACAGATGAAGAAATTTGTCCCAGTCTCTTTGGTGTTCAGAGACTACTTTGGCCAGATAACGGTTGATAGTTCTGTTCATGCGTTCAACCATTCCATCGGATTGTGGATGTAGGACCGTCGTCCTGGTCTTGCGGATGTTCAGGACTTCACAGACACCTTTGAACAGATTGGACTCAAAAGTTTCTTCCCTGATCTAAATGAAGCTCCATGGGAACACCAAACCTACAGATCAATTCTTTAACAAGGGCATAAGCAATCGTGGACGCTTCTTGATTTTGCAACGCGTAGGCCTCGATCCATTTGCTGAAGTAATCAATTACTACCACAATTGTATTTGTTTGCTTTCGTTCGTTCTCCGAAAGACAGCCCGTCGATCGCTATTCGTTCGAAAAGACTACCAACATTGTACTAGCGCATAGGGGCTTTACCACGCTTTTGTGGCCCATTAATGGCTGCGCAAATGTCACATTTCTTACACCAGGGCCTCACATCTTCTTTGCAGTTCACCTAGTAGAACCGTTCACGCAGCTTCCAAGTGTCTTGGTAACACCAAGATGTCCCCCGCTGGTTCCATTGTGAACTTCCCCCAAGACTTCTGGGACCCTCCTCTTTGTGAATGACAATCTGCCTTCTCTCTTCTTGTCCCTCCGCTCTCTCGATCACACGGCGAAGTAGTCCGTTATCTATTACCAAGGAATTCCACTGGGCCCAGTACGACTTTAAGTTCGGCGCAATATCTGCAAACTTCTTCCACGTTGGTCTTGGGCCTGTGTTTTTCCAGTTAAATTACTAAACCTAATTCTGGGTTACTGGTTTGGTCATTTGCAAGATCTTCGGATTGCCAACTATCATTAACCACAGTTGTTCTTAGGAATTTCATTCTTTCTCATTCTGCTCGGAAACAATGCTTACAGTCCTTAGCGCAAGGCCTTCTGGAAAGTGCGTCGGCATTTCGATGGATTGCCCCAGCTCGATGTTTTGTGTCGAAGTCAAATTCCTGTAATCGTTCAATCCATATAGCTACCTGCCCTTCAGTATTCTTAAATTGCAACAGCCATTTCAAAGCAGCATGGTCTGTTCTTAACAAGAACTTTCTTCCATAGAGATACTTGTAGAAGTGTTCCACTGGCTTTAACTACTGCTAGTAATTCTCGTCTGGTTACACAGTTGTTCCTTTCCGGTTTTGACAAGGTCTTACTAAAATAACCAATGACTTTTTCTTGACCATCCTGGATCTGAGACAGAACAGCGCCTAACGCAACAATGCTAGCGTCGGTATCCAATAAAAAGTTTCCGTTGCCAAGAGGGTAGCTAAGTATGGGCGCACTAGTCAGGCCTTCTTCAATTTTCGGAATGCCTCGTCAGAATCTTAGTCCCAAGAGAAACGCCTCTCGCCTTCGGTAAGTCTGGTCAATGGTTTTTCGATGGTGGCGAAACCCTGTACATAGCGTCGATAGTATGTGAATAGTCCCAAAAAGCTTCATAGTTCATGTTTATCGTTGGGTATCGGCCAACTCTTCCACTGTCTTGGTTTTCTGTGGATCTACCGCAACTCCTTGGAGGAGACTACATGGCCCAAGTAGTGTACCTTTCTTGACACAGAGGACATTTCTTGGGGCTAAGTTTCAAACCAGAGCTCCCTAGTCGCTTGAAAACTTCTTCCAATTTCTTCAGATGATCGTCATAGGATTTCCCAACCACTATGATGTAATCCAGGTACACTAAACAGGTAGTCCAGGATAGTCCTTTTAACACAGACTCCATTAGTCTCTCAAAGTTAGCTGGCGCGTTGCACAATCCAAAAGGCATAACAGTAAAATTGCCACGGTCCGGAGCCCACCGAGAACGCTGTCTTCTCTGTCTTTCGGCGCCATGACGACTTGCCAATATCCACTATTCAGATCTAACGTAGAGAATATCGTTGACCCCGCCAGCGTGTTTAGAGTATCGTCTATCCTCGGCATGGGATAACTATCCTTCTTTGTAACATTATTGAGCTGCGATAATCAACACAGAACCTGGTGGAACCGTCTTTCTTCTTTACTTGTACTACCGGCGATGTCCACGGGCCGTTAGATGGTTCGATGACACCCTTTTCTTTCATTCTCGGAATGGATTTTATTAGTTTCTTCACGTTTGGCGAGGGGAAGTCTTCTCGGATTTTGTTTGATTGGTCGTGCATCTCTGTTATCAATTTTATGTTGTTTATAAAATTGGTTACGACCTCTCTGTCCTGCTTTTCCTTTATCAAACACATCTTGATACTGGATTATCAGGTTTCTCAATTATCTACTATTTTCGGGAGATAATCCCTTAACGTTTACTAACTCCTTCACCATTTTGTCCGGAATTTTTGAAGTCGAAACTTTGGAGGCTTCCACGCTTCGAACGAATGAGGAGACCGAACAACAGTACCCTAAAGGGGTTCCCTTCTTCAAGGATACAGAATAATAATTCGTGTTCATTACTCTCACCGGTACAGTTTTCTTCGCTCGTAGCAGGGCTTTCCAACAGCGATCCCTCGTCCTATTTCGCCGTCATGGTTCCTTGGCTCCAACAAAATAATAATCCATATTCATTTTTCCTTCTAGGCAACCATCCAAAAATATTTCACAGC